ACCTCTTCCTACAAGTCAGAAAATGTGCCTAGTTTGGAAAAGGCCCTCTTTCACTCAAACATATCAAATATGCAGCAATTCTACCTACATTCCTCAGGGAGAAAGGAATGTATAATATTCAAGGAAGGCAAATTAAAAAATATCTTCCTTGGGATATACCATCTGTTAACTTGTTCCACTCAGGTGAGAACTGAATATAGATATTCCCCTTTAATCTGTTACATTTTAAAGTGTGTATTTGATTTCTTTTTACATACATCAAGGGAGTTGAGGTAGTCTAAGAAAATGATTTAATTGTTTTTAGCACTGTCCCTGAAATTTCTCTGATACTAAAATATTTTCCTTAAGGTTCTGCAACAAAAGCAAGGTGTCAGGTTGCACTTTTAAGTGGCCAATTCTCTAAAAGCTGTGTGGTCAAGTAAGTTGGGGAGGTTGCCCGGTTTTATTATTTGCAAAATGATCTGGTTTGGGAGTTCCAATAAAAACTTCCAAAGACATAAAATATAGAAAATACAGAGGCACAATTTCCTCTCAGCTGTGGATTTACGTGTGGTACAGCAGTCAAGGAAACTGATTCATTTCACTTCAGAGCACTCACACTCAGTCACAGGCTTTGTGACCACTGAAGCAGTTAGACTCTTGGCCCCATGTTCTGGACATTCCCCTTTGGTTCTTTCTCCTATTGCCTCCTGTTTCTTTTTTACTGTGGTGGAGTCATTAAATTGAGGAAACACTTATCCTTGACTCCCACTGTGGATGTTATACTAAGAATTATTTATACTCTTCCCTATCCTGTTACCCGAAAATGGTGGGTTTGGTGTTTAGGAAGAAATATTATAAGCATATACTTGGAGACTGAAAGAAGCCTGTACATTTACCTTCTAGCCCAAAACAGTGTGATGTACTATAATAAAAATTGTTTTGTACTTTGTTACAACTAAACAGATTTAAGTTAGAGTATAAACTAAAATAAAAATGATTGAAAATATGATTCCATAAAAAAAGTGCTGATAGATTTGAATTTTGTTAGCATGAGTCACTATGACTGCATACAGTACTAAGATGAGTAAAATTAAAAAGAAAAGTTACATCTAGAAACCAATATTTTTTATCTGGATTAAAGATAAAATTATATATTGTATTTGTATAAATGCATATTTATTCATATGTGTATACCATACACACACACACGCACACACACACACAGAAAGGAAAAGAGAGAGAGAGAGAGAGAGAGAGAGAGAGAGAGAGAGAGATCCACACATTAATAGGCCAGAAAATCATTTTCCTCTTAAAAATGCTAAGTTCAGAGATGAGAAAAACATTGGGCATTTCCAGAGTAAGGATCCTGATAATTTAGCCTTAGAGTAAGACGAATTGATTTTAGACATTCTTTTGTCACCTATCAGGGGGGTGACTTTGAAGAAGGCTTAAACCTTTCCTTGGCTGAACTTTATCTGTAAAATGAGAATAAAAATAGGGTTGTGACAATTAAATGAGTCAATACATGTTAAGAAATAAGAACAGGGATCAGCAAACTTTCTATACAGTGCCAGTTACTAAGTATTTTAGGCTTTGCCATCTCTGTCACATATTCTTCTTTGTTTTTGTTTGCTTCTTGTTTTCTTACAACCCGTTAAAAATGTAAGAAACAGTTTCGGTCACTAAGACACACACAAAAATATCAGGCCACTGCTTAGCAGAGTGTCTTGCATGTACTATGGGATATTTATGTGCAAATTACCATTGTTATTATTATTAATATTATTATTATTACTATTATTGAATCTAAATTTTTAACCAAGTGTTTGGTAGGAATACTCATTCAATAAATGTTTGCTATAACATATTTGCAAATACATTTTCCATTACTGAGTTTTATGGGCTGAATGTTAGTATGTCCATAAAATTCATTATGTTGTAGCCCAAACCCCCTATAGTTATGGTATGTGGAGATGAGGGCCTTTGGGAAGTAATTAGGTTTAGATGAGGTCATCAGGGTGGGGTAATCATGATGGGATTAGTGACCTTCTAAAGAGACCAGAGAGTTTGTTGTCTTCCTGCCATGTGAGGACATAGCTAGAAGATGGCCATCTGCAAAACAGGAGAAGGGTTCTCACCAGAAACCCTATCTGCTGGCACCCTGACATAGATTTCTCAGCCTCCAGAACTGAGAAATAAATGTTTGTTGTTTAAGCCTGTCAGTCTATGGTATCTTGTTATAGCAGCCCAATCAGACAAAGACACTGAAATCATATGATAGTAAACTACTGATATTTTCCTCTTTTCTTGGCCTTTTCCATTCATGAACCATTATTTGAAAATTTAAGAAGTCCCTCACAAATTACTTAGTTGTTATGAAAATATTTGGAATTAATATATTTATTTCTTTATAAAAGTGGGCTCTGTACCATGTTAACTGCTGATATACCTTAATGTAGCAGCTCTTAGAATGCAATATATCCAAGTAAAATCATGAATAATTTTATATACAGGCTAATTAGCCCATCTCTGTGTTATCATTGGACTGTCATTCTGATTGGCTTTAAAATTTTAGGGAATGGAAAATAATTATTTGAGGAATGGAAAATAACTGTTTTGATTTAATGAAAATGATCATTAGTTTCATGAAAATGAAAACTATCAGAGAATTAGGGTAAAGGTAATGACTAATTTATTCACATCACATACAAATTTAGAACTCCAAGTAATTTATGGTAAGATCAGAATCCTTTCTGTGGTCATTTACCATCTTAAAAGCATAAAAAGCCAATGGAAATACTCTCTGTTTTATTGCCCACCTCATTTAGCACCATTAAACTAGCCTGAAGTGTCAGAAGAAAATATAAACACATTAGACCAATATTCATTAGCATGTTGATTTCTATAATATTTGATCAGTACATACATTCACTTCAGGGCCATCCCCATGTACATGTGTGTGTGTTCACACACAGACACACAGATGCACATCTCTGTAATACACTCCCAACCCTATTTACATTCTCACACATACATTTACATATAATCACAAACCTTATCTATGATTTCTTACACATACACATCTATACACACTCACACTCCCTACACACAGACTTTTTAAGTAAAACACATTTTGATTTTTAACTTATATTACACTTACACCCTAGGGAACAAATCATCTTTGAACATACTTTCCCCACAAAGTTATTATAGAGCCAAGAATAAAATAGAAGAAGAAAGAGAAAAAAAAAGAATTTCCTGTTTGACTACTTTTCTGTAGAGTACAACTTCTTTAACTAAGGACATGTATTATTCATAGGATAAATTCATCATGGAATACATACCTAAACATCCTGAGGTTTTTTTTTTAATATATGGCAGTAATTAAGCAAGGAATTCAAGTAGGAAAACAGACTGCTTTCTTAGCAATAAAACCATTTAGAATGAACATTATCCTAGCTACAAGGAGAAATACAGATTGTTTTAACCGCTGTCACTTTAGACAGTCTAACATGGTACTAACAGGTGAGCATGTAAAAGTACAAAGTGGCATTCTCCTGATTTATAGATCTACTTATCATCTTTGACATAATATTTAATAAAAGAACTACCTGGGCTATAGCTGACTTTTTGTATCATTATTGTAATTCTTTACTGCATTCCTAATGGAAAAGAGTTACTAAGTATCATTAGTGAGATATGCAAAAATAGGCATAATTTTACCCTGAAGGAGGTAATGATAGAAATTCAGGCAAAGAGGCTTAATATAATAGTGCACCAATAAGCTAGCTCTGTGCACTCAAATATTTAAACTTTCGCTCTGTCACCTTCAGTTGGATCTGGATTTCAAATCACAGCAGTGTATTTGCAGTTCTTAAATCTTAATTAGCCTGACATGCAGAAAGGCCCCAGGTAAGAAAAAATGAAACTCAGTGTGTGTAATCAGGAAGGCAAGCTGAGGAAAAATCTGGGGACTCATGCTTCACCATCACTGTCATAAGGCAGTTTCCACCAGCGGTTGCTGAATTCTAGCCAGTCGTACAAACTGCAAGTTGGGAAGATGTTGGGGTAAAAATAAGTTAAATGGGAGTGTGGTGAAATGCTTCCTAGGATCAAAGATAATATCAAGACAAATATAAAAATGGGTGGTTTTCTGAGAATCAATGACATATAAAGGCAAGACTTACATATGTTATAGTTACATCTTTACAGTTACTATGTAAGATGCGTTTTTGTGCGTGTGTCAAAGAATAGATACCTACTTGAATAGAGAGATTGAATTTTTACTTTTCTCCAGCTTCATCCTGTACATTTTAGGATTTAAGTTTTTGCAACAAAATTTGATAACTGCATATCCTGAGAAATAGGCTGTAGTCCCGGGATCATCCTAGGAGAGTACCAACTTCAGCCTTTCACTTGGGGAACAAGGGCAGAGGATGCCAAAGGAGCAAACAGCAAAAATAATTCTCTTTCTCCAGTGGAGCAGTTATTGGATCTGACAATATGACATGCATAAATGTATGGTTTATCTCACTATACATTTTCTCCACTCTAAAGATAATACCTTGTGCAACCTTGGAGAGGCTTATTCTGAAGACGTGCTTATTTTCATCAGTGAACTATTTTACAGAGTGAAGCACGAAGAAGCATTTTAAGATTGCATTCACATTGTATGCTTCTCCTGATAGACAAAATATATCATTTCTAAAAGTCAAGGTTTTTTATGTAATAGACTTAGCTCCCCAATAGAGTGAACTTTTCATGAAAGCCCTGGATATAATTGAGTTTTCTTTCATGTCCTTAAAGCTTTTTAAAATTCATGAATTTTCTTATCATTTTTGCAGCAAAGCAAAAGTATTTCCAATTCCTTTTTTGAATTTTGTGTTTAATATTAACATATTTAAAATGTTACAGAAATAGACGAAGTGAAATAAATCGTACATAAGAAAGTATTTGATTCTCGATGCATTTTAATGTTACAAATAGGTCAGTCATTCCTATTGAATTCGCTCCATTACCTGTCACAGAGCTGTCTAGATTGTCCATGCTGCATCCTGGTGTCTGCTCTACTGCTCTCAGGGGCCTGGGAATTTCTAAAACTTCTTCCTCATCGTCAGCATCATCATCTGGAACATCGGTCTCCAAATCGGAAATCAAGGCTCCGGACATGTAACCTAATGGTGGAACTGGGGGCTGTGGAGGTTGATTATTGCTTTGAATGTGCCTAGAATTCAAATGAGGGTTGGGGGAGAAAAGGAATTCGTTAACAGTCCACTAAATTGAAATTAGAATTAAACAGCATGCTCTGGTCTTTTTGTTTTTTAATTTTGTCTTTTTATTTTCCGTTAATGAATTATGGCTCTTACAGTGCTTTCTTAACACTTCAGCTGGGACAGTGGGCAATGCATACATGACTTAGCAAAACTACAACAATACAGATGATTACACTCTTCTATTCGTTTATGGGATGATACACAGAGAAAAAAAATACATGCTCAGTATTTTTGTATAAATGACTCATCTAAAGAAGAATAGATTTGTCACAGATAATTGTTTAAAGCTGACTCTTTTGTCTAAAAAGGATATAATAATTCTGTTCCCAGTTTAGTGTTTTAAGTTCCACTCGTTGTGTAACCCCTGTGACCTGCTGGCTCTTATGAAGAGAAGATGTTACAGGAAGGTCTAATACCAACACCCCCTCCTCCAACCACAGGCACATTCCCTGCCGTGGAGGCTGTCTTCCTGTACCTTCCTCATGATCCCTCATGAAGCAGGCTGGGTGATGGCTCCCACTGTAACCCAATTTAGGGTAGGAATTGACTATTTTGTGTTCTATTTAGTTGTGGTATGTCTCACCCACCAAAATCTTCAACATCTTAAGGCAGAAAAGATTCATCTCCAGTTAGAAGATTAGATGTGCTGAATAAACCTTTTATAATGGATTAATAATTCTAATCTCAAACTCGTGAACCAGACAAAACTTGTATAATCACCTCTTTTAGAATTCATTAAACTGAAGTTCAATTTTAAGTGACTTGTTTCAAATCACATGGCTAGCAAAATGTAGAGCTGGACACTGGGGTGCAGTGTTTTCTCCTTGCGACTATTTATTTCAGTTTCTTCTAAACTATACAATTTGCATTCTAAATGAAAGCAAGTCTTTGTTATTTGTTACTGCCAGTAACAGTAAATATACCACATGTTATGACACATTAAGTCTTTTTTTGCATTGACACAGAGTACTTAAAAGACTTTGCTATTTAAGGAGATGTAAAACAAGAGCTAAACATTTTTTACGGGTAGTTTTTAAATTAAAGACACAAGATTATTTTTCTTTAATGTCTGCACTTTTTAGGAAAATATTTCATTATTACAGAATGTTTAATATTCCTCATTCAGCCATTCTTGAACTTATAACCAACTCCAATGTTATCAAGATTCTTTATCTTTTGAAGCTAAAAAAAAGCCCTAAAATGTTAGTTCAGAAAGTCACCTTAGTATCAGGCTCACAAAGAATTTGAAATCCAATTTATTATTTGGCATTCATCACAGCTCATTCATTGAAAACTCAGGAAGTTTCTTATGATTACCAATAATCTGGAGTACAGATAACCACATCATGTGGTGTTGCCTCAAACTGTTTGTAAATTGGGGATGCATTGGGCCAGGTCATGAGCAAGAGAATGGAAGGTGATGTTTACATACATGATTCATTCCCCTTTAATTCTCCTTTGGTCCTGGAAAGGACCAAACAGACCAGTGTTCTAGTCCTCCATCACTGCTGATTCTTCCTGATGGAAGAAATATATAGTAATGGGGTGAAAAATGTACTCCTTGATTTCAGCAGAATTAGGAGATAAACTGAAATACAGGAAGAGAGTATGTAATCTTTATAATACCTGCTACTGACAGACACTGTGCTATGCACTTCCTGGGTCCCTATGAACAGAATCTCAGGAAGTGGAACCTGGGAATTATTAATTTTTAAATGTTCCTCCTGTGATGTTGATGTGCAGCCAAGATGGAAAGGCGCTTCCATTCTAGAAGGGCAAGGTCCTGTGTGAGCTCATGGAGGCTCAAAACTCCTGCATGAGGAGTCAGTGACGACAGACTGAAAGATTACTGGACTGAACAGAAACATACTCAGAGAAAGAAGCAGGGTCTATGGCCACTTGGGGCAAGTGGAGATAAACTAATTTGTTTACTCATTTAGCAAATATCTGTGGAACACTCACTCAGTGAGACACTCCTCTGAGAGTGGAAAGACAGCAATGAATAACTCAGGAGAAAACCCAAGTACTTTTGAGTAACAGCTAGAATATAGCTAGAAACTTTGCTAAATACTATGAAGAGCAAACTCATTTAATTCTCACAAAAACTGTGATGTATAATAAAGAGTTTGACCTTGCCCAATGAGAATGCCTTTGCCCTGTACAACTGGATGGTAATCTCTAAGTTCTGTTATATTTTCACAGGATACCTAAGAAGATTGCCATCTTTACCTTATTAAAGTTTATGTATTCATTAGGCAAAAGGAAGTTGGAATTTATTCTAGGTTTTGCATTTTTTTTTCCTGATGTGTTTACTGACACTAATATTGTTTTTTCTGTCTCATTTCATTCAGCCCAAAGAAGGTCTTTTAATAACTGACACTGACCATACGTGACTTGCCGAAGCTTATATACATATTCACAAACACCACAGAATTAATCACAGGCACTCTGAAGAATCTAAAAGGAGTCTTTTATTATGGTACTGGAAGTGAGTTCAAGGATAAGCTAATTGAAGCTAAGCTGTAAACTAGAAAAGATTCTGGTGTAACTAAAATCACTTTAGCTTGAAAGTCAGCAGATCTGCATTATTGCTCCAGCTCACTCTAGTTATGCAACTTTGGTCGAATTATTTAACATTTCTAATCTGGATTTCCTTCCTTCCATGATCAAAGAGTTGTGCAAAAGCATTTTTAAGCCCAGCTGTATAGCTCTATGAAAATGTCTTATGAATTTAATGTGAAAAAACATTTCCTCTATCTATGCATTGAAAACATGGGTCCCCTGAGGGTATTTGGGTTCTAATGAGGATATTTACCATGTTTGCTTTGCTATATCAAACTGATAGGCTCTCGTCAGCTCGTCCAGGTGAGCCTGCAGCATGGGCTGCATCTCCTCCCGTGGGGATGGAGTGAGCGTTGCGGTGGACTGCTGTCCAAAGGAAACGGCAGGAGAAGAAGCCACGCCTCGGACAGGAGGTGTGGGGACACGATCATCGTCTTCTTCCAGCTCATCTTCCATGCCCTGGTGTAAGTATGTTTGCATTGGTAACGGCGGGCACCAGCTATCACTATCATAGCTGAAATTAAGAGAGGAAAAAGAATACATTGACACCTACACACGTACTCATGTGTACACACTCACAATTACACTGGCAGTAAATATCAAGCACAATAAAAACAAGGGGATCTGAGATGTTTTCTCGGTTTATTTCCTTCTGATTTCAAATTGTTGGTGCTACGATAGTAAATCACCTGACTATTATCTTAATTTCTAATCATAATTACAGCTGTTACCTCAATATTTCAATTTATTCATAAAAGATCTTATTAGCTAATTGTTATCCCACAGTTATAAAAGGCAGTAACTTCCCAAGAAAGTTACTCATGTGGAAAAACCTAATTGCTAATTAAAGACAATTAATGAGTTTAGGGCTTGTGGATTTAACTACTTTCTGCTCCTGTTCACCCTTGTGCACCAACAGAATATGCCAATGTCAATCATCTAAGAAATGTTTGAAATTTTATTTACTTTCATTCTAGGTCTATGCCAACCTTCATTTCATGACGTATCAGTCATTAAGACTTTGTGTTACAACAGCACTTTGATACATTTAATACCCTTAATTTTTTTCAGTAGAAACTCATGTCTCCCTGTATTGTGAATTCTAAAATCTATAAAACAGAATTTCAAGATCTAGCCCTAAATTCTGAAGTTCAAAACTTCAAATTATAAAATAGTCACAGGAATGAAAGTACAGCACAGGGAATATAGCCAATATTGTACTATCTTGGTCTAGTGACCGGATGGTAACTACACTTAACTGTGGCGAACAATTAGTAAGGTATGTAATTGTCAAATCACTATGTTGTACATCTGAGACCAATATAATATTGTATATCAACTATATTCCAATAAGGAAGCTAAAAAACCTAGCCTTATAAAATATATATTACAAAGAAAAATAATAACTTTTTAAAGCAGTATGTTTTTAGGGAGTCTGGTTAGGGAATATAGAAAATTATTTCAAAAAGTCTTGTAACACAAAATCAGTAGCATTTCTACTTACACTTTTTCTCTAATACTATTCCTTTGGTAACTCAAATAGATCCTAACGTATTTTAAAATAACAGACTTAAGGATAATATAAGCAATATTATGGATGTAGTTGTCCTATATATTTAACCTCTGAAATATCTCCAGAATCTTTCTCCTGCATTTCAGCTCTGTTACCACAATCATAGATCAGTCTCCTTCCAATGAACTAGCTCATTAGCTTCCCTAGTCTCTTGGGGTGTTACTTCTCTTCAATCCCGTCTTCTATACAGGCAACAGGATTATGTTTCTAACATCTTCATTCACATCACACCTATGCTTTAAATTATTCAGTGATTATCGCTAATATAAGAAAAGTTCAAACTCATTAGCAGGACCTTAAAGGCACTTCCCCATCTGATCAGCCTATTTTTCTAGCTTAATTTCCCATCATTTCCCTCACACCAGCTTACTCTATGTTTTTTGTAAACTTTGTGTCTGTATATGACTGTTCTCAAATCATCCACGTAATCAGTTTTGTGAAGCCTTCTCTGCCCCATCACATGGAATGGATTACAGCTCCATCACACTCACTGGTGACACTCCCCGTACTAAAGTGTGATGTTTCACTTCTTTTTTTCCCTGAAATGCTGTGAGATCCTAAAACTCAAGAACTCTGTAAATTTTTAACTTTGCATTTCTAGCATCTAGTCCAGTATCTAGCAGATAGATTTTCATTAAAGAAACTGAAAATTGCATGACTATTACAAGTGAACATATGACATTCTGGAAAAAGCAACACTGTGGAGACAGTAAAAAGATAAGATGGTTGCAGGAGGTTAAGGGGAGGGAGGGATGAACAGGCAGAACCCAGAGGAATTTAACAACGCTGAAACTCCTCTCTGAGATACTGTAATGGAGGATACATGTCATTATACATTTGTGGAAACCCACAGATGCACAAGAATGAACTGCAACATAAACCATAGACTTGGGGTGATAAAGATGTGTCACTGTAGTTTCACCAGTTTAACAAATGAACCACTTTGGTGGGGGATACTGATAGTGGTGGAAGCTATGAATGCATGGGGGCAGGGACTGAATGGGAAGTCTCTGTACTTTTTGCTCAGTTTGGCTGTGAACCTAAAACTGAATTAAAAAAGAAAGTGTTTTTTCAAAAAACCCTGAGTTTTTCATCCTTTTATTTGACAATCTTTTGTCAGATAACTGGAGCTACGTACCGAGCATGAAATCTAACGGGGGCAGACTGATACTAGCAAATAATCAACAATACTGAGTACTACTGAAACAGAGAGCAGGCAGGCCAAAATTAGTTTCGGGGTTGGGCTAGGCTAGTATGATCACCAGAAAGGAGGGTATTGTAAGTAAGACATGTGGTGGCCTAAAGGAAGAGAAAAGAATTTGAAGGACTTAAATAGTTCCCAAACTGGTAAGAGCTGGCAAATGCAGAAAGCTGGCCGTAGATGAGGCAGGCAGGAGAGGTGAGACGTGCCACAGCACAGAGGGCCTCATCAGCCCAGGAAGGAGCTTGGAATTTTGACTATGGGTAATGGACAGTCACAGAGAGATTTTATACAAGGAATGATATCATCTCTGGCTGTTCAATTTTCCGCTTTTGTTCAGGCCACTTGAATAATCTACCTCGATGAGTTGCAAACTGAAGCCTTGTATAGTCTGATAGGAATATTTCTTACAAAATATCTTGTAAGGCACACTTTAATGTGTTACCAGTAATAATTTTTATATTCCAAAAAAATACCATTGCTTAAATTTCTATTCTCACTGTTTACGTAAGTACCAATCTGACCTAAAAAATTTACAGCTCTAAAATAATGTCATTTTTATCTGTTTTATATATTGGAGAAAACAGATTGCATTGGAAGAAAAGATTCTGTTGCATAAAAAGTTTGTAGCCCATTGTTGCAGTTGGATAACCTCTAACGAACCCAGCACATCACCTACAAACTGGTCTATAAAAACGTCAGAACATTTGTTTGAACAAAACATTTATTTCACTCTATTATGTTCACTAAATATGATTAAGATTCAACCTACTTCTTCAGAAGGTTTTCTCAATGTCTCAATAAGAATCTTCTACTAAAAATAAACTGACTTGATTTCTTATTTTTTGTACTTTTCCATCCTGGTGCATTAGTTAAAAGAATCCAACTTCTTTCAAATAAGCTGCACTCCTCCAATTTCACCGATCTTAATCTTACAAATCCTACAAGCTACAGGCTAAATTCCTCATCTTTTATCAAAATTCCCCGATGAGGCCAACTAGCACTGATCTTTTAATCTTCTGAACTTGCATGGACATTTCTGCACATTTACTTGAAAATTGATTATACACTGTCTTGTGCCATTTCCAATGTTAGTTTCTTTAACTGCTGTCTAATTTATTTGAGTACTTAACCTTTCATGTGTTAATAGTATGTTTTTCTCAAGTGGATTTAATCTACACTGAAGCCATGATATTGAAGTATTCCTGTTAGGCCACACCTGACAAAGCACTTTAAAAATTGTAAGTAATAAGCATATTTATTCATTTGAAAGGAAAACATAGAGATCACTTTATTAATAAGAATACTTAGGTTTCTTTTCTTAATTTATACATCTGACTTTAAATGGTCAATTATTAAGTCCAACAAAAGTATATGTAAAAAACCTAAAAAAAACCTACTCATTTTCAAAATGGAATAGGTGTGCAGGTGCCCTTCAGCAATCGGTATAATGAAATTTAACCCATAAAACTTGTTACAAAATATTTCAGTTTTTTGTTCCATAAACTTGCTTGGCTTATTGCCAGGAATATCATACATTTGAGTAAAGAAAAGAACATGCTGCTATATTCAATTTTTTTAATGGAAGTCGTCAATTAGCTCCTAAAATTTTTCTATTTCATAAGTAGTAGATTATTCTTACTTCCAGTAATCTAAATGGAATATACATATGGAATAAAAATGTATAGAAAAACGTTAAGAGGAGGAAGAACTAATGTAACATGCATCATGTGTTAAGTAACAGAGAAAAAATTCGTAATTAGTTGTAATCAACAGTTTTTATTTTTCAATTGCCATTAGGCAAAGAAGAGTCAAACCATATAAATATTATTTTTAACATGATACTAATACATTGCATAGTGTATTAACTCACTAAAAAATATTTCAATGGCTATTCTACTTAACTAGCATGGGTGTTTATCATCAATTGCTCCAAAGATACAAAGATAATCTGGAACATGAACCAGCAAACTCTGTATCCCTGAGGAACATTAAGAAAAGCTGAGAAAGTCCATAGATTCACCTCAGGGGTTTGTGCAAGTCACCTCAGGGGTTTGTGCAAAAAGCAAGAAACAGAAAAAGGCAGTAACAGACTAGGAGAAGACCATGAGAGAAACATGAAGGAAATCTGGGACATGGTGCATATCACATGATAAGGAGAACTTTGTAACATTGAACATTCCTCTCTGAGGCATCATGTCTTAATCCATTCCAGAACAACAAATACTTAGGTTTCATGAAGTCTTGCCAGAAGCAGGGCAAGAAAGTAACAGATGACTCTCTAAGTGTTATGAATAAGCATAGCTCTGTTTTTAGAATTTCTTTCACATTTACAGATACATATATTGTATTTGAGTGATGGAATTTCAACTTTTTCTTATGGTAATATAAAAAAAAGACTGTGAAAATGCTTCTAATACAAAACCAGAGGTCTTTTGGCCAACCTTTCCTAGGGAAGCTTTCATTCTTTGACTTTGATTGTCATTGAAACATGAAGCATCATATTATCTGCCTTGCCGGGTGAGTAATGAGAAAGATGACAGCAAGTCAATGTTGCATGTGAACTAACTTGTTACAGGCCAGATACAAATACCAAATTACTAATAAAAATACAATGAAGTTCAACACCCACACAAGCTTACCAATCTCTAATTGCAGTAACAAATCAAGCTGTTTTCCATTTAATCACTACTGAATTCTCCCTAACATAATATGATCATTTTAAACTACATTATATTTATAGTTAGGAAGGAATACATTTTGGCACATTTTTGTCAACCCAAGAGAGGCTATTGATGAGAGGGAACATTTGCCATCATTACTATACTATTGAATTAGCAATTAAATACTTTTCTATTTGGATGATGATGTGATAACTTTTGATATTTATGTTGTGGGGGAAAAAAATGACTCCAGAAAAGCTTACAAAGGAAATGGATGATATATAAGCTCTTAGAAACAATATTGAACATTGTAATAAAAAACAGAAATAATCTTTTTAAGATTGGGTTTACTTACGGATAAATGCATATCCAAAATCTACCCCTCTCCCTCCATCTCACTGCCATTGCCTTATCTTATTCCCTCACGATCTTCATGATATTGGCCAGTCTACTGAAATATCCCATATATCGTCTACATGCCCCAGCCTCATGTCCTCTAGTCCATCATCTATGCCCAAGGATCAGAATCCTCATATGACATGCAAGAAGACTTCACAATTGGCCTCAAGGCACCTCAGATTATCTCCTATCCTAGGGATGTTTCAGACGCAACAAGCCTCATATAGCAGTCACCAATTGCTTAATGGAACAGACAAGCAATGAGAATGCAATGTGATGAGAACTAAAGTAGAGGAGCAAGCTTAAGGAATAGAGGAAAACCAAGGAAAGGCAAGGAACTTTAACTAGAAGTGGGTAGTTTCAAAGGGAGAGTGGGAAACACTAAAGGATGACTATTGGCCACATGAGTAACATTTGGTTGTAGTTAACAATCTATGCTGGCACATAAACTACTTTGAGTTAGGGAATATTTATCATTACCTTTGTCTTTTTTGCTACTCAGAGCCTGGCACCCAATAGCCACCCAGCTCTGGGCACTATTATTTGTAAATAAATGATTCAAGAGTCATCTCAAAACTCAATTTTCATAAGGTTGCCCCAGCCTTACCTGGCATGATTATCATTTCCTGTATGTAAATTATTTTGTACACTTTCCTCATCTAGATCTTACTGTACAAGGTCCATATATGGTTACTGGCCTCTACCTTCTACTCCTGTGAGATCTCTAGGTCAGGGACCAGATCTTCTCATTAATTGTGTATTTGTTTTTTTTCATCTCTGTTGCTTTCCTTCCCAGCACTGGGCTTAGCATTTGCCATGTGCTTAAAAAATTTTATGTCAGGTAAGTTCTCTATTATGATATATGAAATACAACAAAAAGAAAAAAAACTATATATCACTGTAAGAAGCAAAGTTGCAGAATCTCTGGCCATTAGAAATAAAAATTATTAAAACTGAAAGGGTAACTTTCAAAGTTTTTGTAGTTTTTATTTCAGGAAAATTTTAAACTTGCCTAAGTTTCAAATCAGGGTACATAAACAATTCTATACAACTCCTCACAAAATAGTCAATGTTAATATCATGAATAGCAAAGTGTAAATAATCTAGGAAGTGTTCTAAAATCTTTCCTTTTCAGCATTATAAGGTTTTCACATCAGAAAACAGGTAAGTATAGAAAATGTATCAAGAAAGGACAAAGTCATCATAAATCTAAAAATTATAATTTATTAATGTCATATTGACTTTAAATAGGTGTTTTCATTACATGTTATCAAAAGAAAAACTTTCAAGTGCTAGCCTTTAAAAAACTGAGTCCAGAGAATAAGGAAATTGAATTTATTGTCAGTTTACTGATAGGTTAAGACTTAACTCCTATTTTTGTTAAGAGTGCAGGTAAAATTTTCTTCAGGAAATACTAGGTACTTACGACAAATAACTCAAAGGTTATTAAGAACTAAACTATGTGCCAGAAAGAATTTGAATATTTGTAATCAAAATACATATTTCTTTACCTATTTAAAATATCAAGTGGAATTTTAGAGAAAAATTTCTAATATCATGCATTCTGGCTGAATATTAAAATAATTTATAACCCCCAAATAGGTAGAAATAACATATTTTATGCCTTAATGTTCTGAAAATAATTTATATGAAAAAATTAAAGTACCAACATGTATTATTTCACCCATCGGATGGGTTTTTCCAGTTCTACTGATAGCAACTAAATCAAATGAGAAGTTTAGCATTTATTTGGAATTAATTAGTTTTATTTCAATGGGTAATAGTTTTGTTATAAGTCTCTTTTTTAAGTAGATAGTGGGAAAAGAAAAATGATTCCAAATTACCTACAATTTTCATGTGTTTTGAGTTCAAGAGTTTGTTTATAAATATTTAATAGCCCTACTTTCTCTTCCCAGTTTATAAGTTCTATTTTTCCATTGTCTGACTTCAGACTTGATACGCAGATTTCTAAACCCTGTAATAATTTTATTCATGTGGAATATATATACCAAGTTTTTCTTTGCCTGGGATCTATTTGACAGTGACACCTTTATATTATTGATATGTATTAAATAAAATCATGTGCAGAATTTTTTTAAGGCCAGGAAAAGAGGATGTGCTCCTAATTTCCTATTTCAAATGTGAACTTTCACTTAAAAAGTAAAATGATATGCCTATATATGAGAACTATAATCTCACAGAAACAAATTAATCTTGGAGAAAAAGAAAGATACTGAGAAAATACAGAGGCATGACTATGTGTATATTCTATCTAGCTATTTGGATATATATATATATACACACACACACATAAACATACACACCAAGCACACACACACACACACACTATATATATGTATTACATAACTAGGAGAAAAGGCAAATTAGGTCTTTTGCAGGAAACAAACATGACCTAAGAAGTTCTAAGTAGAAAAATTAATCTGGAGACCTCAAAGACAGCAGTTAGGGAAAAAGAAAAGGAGATGGAGAAAAATTTATAAGCATGTACATGCAATCGTCAGATGAAACAAGATAAACTGAAGTATTTAATATCTCAGTACTTCTAAATAAAGAAAACTTGAAAAAAGAAAACATTCATTTTGTATTTTACAGTTTCAGTCAAAAGTAATGGTAACCTAGGAATTGTGAGGAAGATAGAGCATTTAGGATTACTGAAAGAGAAAGAGACTGATACAGTTCTTCTGACTTGCTATTTTTTTGGAGGGGATTACAGAATAAAGTATCAAAGTCTTTCTACTTTAAAGTCAATTAACACTTGAACAGAGAAAAACTAACTCTTGTGAGATGCTTGGTAAAGAATAAGGAAACTGGTCACATTTAATGGCCCTCGGAGGATATTTTCTAACTTAAAAAGGTTTTGTTAGAGTGTGCATTGGCTTGAACCTCTTTTATTGTTTCAGCCCCTAAATTCCCATCAAAACTGATGATTCAGGTTCTCGCCACTGGCCAGGTCCCTACAGTTATCCCATTGTGATGGATCTCGACAGCTGGCACCCTGCTATGACCAGGCATCAAGTCATTAGAGAACTGCGAACCATGGTGAAGAAGGTTGCTTTAATACTTTTTTCAGCCCTTCTCAGGAGTGGCTCTTTAGTTCACAGAGCTGTGGGTACTTGCTTTCAAACTCACAAGCAATATTATAAATGGAGGCTGCATTATCAGGATTGAAGACAATCTGAGGCACTTGATGGCCAAGGATTCTAGGTTTCTAATATGCGCTGTGTTGTATTTATCAGCTAAGAAAATAGAGATGGTGCAGAGAGTGAAAAGGGACTGGGTAGCAATGAACAGGCAGGCAAGGGGGCAGAGACAACAGTAAGAGAACACAGGATAAAGACAGAAATGCACACTAGAGAGAGGTGGGTAGCCTTGGCATTTTGTTAGTAGAAAAACTATTTTTACCCATTCTCTTGCTGTTCCACTGCATAGTGTTCCATCTCTGTGCCAGGAAGGGGCTGGACTGGGGGAGGAGGTAGAGGAACATTGGCCCAGGTCGATCCATTGTTTTTCTGGGGTTTAGAAGAGTTTTTATTTTTCTTCTTTTTTCCACCTTTCCCACCTGAAAGTAACAATACATTTATTCAGACACACCGAGTGTCAGAAGAAACAGAGTACATCAGATGGAAAGATGTATTTACGTTTTCAAATGCCATTATGTTACAGTTGTTAAAAGCTATAAACAATGAAATGACATAATCAGAAAAACATTTTTATAAATCACTCAAAATGATATTGTTTCTTTCCCAATGCCTTAACTGCAGCGCTGAATAAACCAAAAACATGGCTGCTGCAGTGAAAGCACACTCAGTAATTTATTCACGTCTGCTGCATCCATGCTCTCATTATTAGATGAAATAATGGGCCATAACAAATTCTTCCAAATATCAGATTTTAGAGCGTTTATAATGCTCTTTTGCATAATTTCTCTCAGTGGAAAATGCAATGTCTAAAGATACAGGCTAAACCTTTCCATTAGAATTTATTCAATTTAATTACTCCAAAAGAGTATAGTTTCCTCTTAAAAGTAACTAATAGAAACTAATCAGCTACAATCTGGAGGATACTTATAAATCTTTCACAATGATAGGTTTTACAGAATTTTTAACTAATGAATGACACAATTATTTTTGCATATAGTGAGAGTAATTCCCAGATATTTTAACAAAACATTTCCTAAAATTCCAAAAAAGGGAAACTATTAATGTACATAAGGTAATCAGTTTCAGTACTACTGTAATGCAAATGAATCCATGCACAAAACATGAGCAGAAAGGAATTTAGCAGCATATGAACCATATCTAGAATTACTAGAGCCTGATGAAATATAAAAATGAAATTTATCATTTGCATAGTGCCGTGCTTTCCACTCTTCCAAAATTAAGTAGATGAAGTTTCTTCCTAATAGGACCACAGTAGAATGTAGGAACAAGTACTTTTTGAGTAGAATGACAAAGCAAGTTGCAGGGGAAACTAACTTCTGTCACTCCCACCGTGGCCCACAGCTGTATTTCCAAAAAAATGGTAGTGACCCCTTGACTTCATCTTTCAGGAATTAAGAGCAGTCTATGTGGCAACAGAGGAATCACTAGAAGTCTCCCCCATCTCCTTTCTTCTACAGTTACTAATCTGCATCAACCAATTCAGAAAATTATGTGATTTAATAATAACTTCTTTGAGCATCAGAAAGCGAGGGAAGTATTCAACTGGGCATTTACAGCATCACCAACTGTGGAAGTTTGTCTTCTAGGTTGAGTGCACACATGCACATATATTTAAGAGAGCCCCTGCTGACCCCACCTTCCCTTTCACTTCTTATCTGGGGCAGATGGCGAGGTATTAAGGGGCAGGAGAGCAGGCATCTTCTATCTCGAGGAAAGAAGCTTCATTTCAGGGTTTAAAACTAGTTCCTCACTTGATAAATTACTGAAGAGATGGCACCTCATTCGACGCACATAAAAGAGATATAAAGTTATTATTTCTTTGGGTTATTTTGAGGATTACAAGAAATGATCCATGTGAAGGGGTCAGAATGTACAGAAAGCATAGTGAATGCTAATCATTTTTCCTCTTTCCCATCTCCTGTCTCAGAGCAAACCCGGCTCTACCTGGTTCTAAAGCCCTTGCCTCGCCCAGCTCCTCCAGCCCCTGTGAGTACTCCAGAAACAGCCTGATTGTCAGAATAAGAATAATAAACCTGTTTGAATGTAAATCTTTAATTTTTTTGTTTAAGGTAGAGGAGCTCCAGTGTTTTTTTCCTGATAAGCCATCAAAACCACAAACAAGGATTTTATCTTTTTCTGTAGTATCAGAACTGTGTATTAATGATTTAAAGAGGAATGGCCCGGGCGCTAAGTCCTTCCTAGCCTTTACCTAGTTGTGCATCCTATATTCCTTGTATTCTTATATTCATACAATGCTTTTTTCAGTTTTCATAGCTCTTTTAGGAAAGTTACATGACTATCGCCAGAACTGAGTGACATCAACAGGACAGTTCTTACTTACATCTCCATTTTATAGACAAGACAATAGTGGTTCTTTCTGAGGGTTAAGTCATTCATATTCACATAGCAAGAGAAAAAAACAATTAAGAATGCAGCAGCTCTACTGGAAATTACTCTCTCTGTACCTCTGAACCAACTTTGTTGAAGTCTTTTCCCAAGGTCAAGAAAACCAGTATCAACTCTTCCCAACAACAGATTTAAAAATGTATTGTGTAGACAGATGATTCATAGAGGGAATTTCTGAGGGCTTTCTATCTAACATCCAGTTTCCCCTATTTGGGTAAAATTTGTGCTCTCTCATTGTGGGCAGTCTTAGTAGGACTATCAATCAATATGCTTTTTCTTCTCTTAGTAATGAGCTAAAAGGTGGGCTCTTCGCATGTGGTGGGTATGTGTATAAGCTATAGAAATTAAATTCTCTGGTTGAGATCTAAAATTTGAGCCACACATACAGTCTGTTGTTTTTATTTGCATCCAAAGATACTCAAACATTTTAAAGTGAGAACTGCCTGCATTATATTTTAGGGAACATATTTTGATAAGAACTGGCAAACATATTTCACCCATCTCTCTTCAACTAAAAATGTAAATACTGGGATTTACATTTATTTATGCTGAACAAATTACTTCTATGCAAAGAAACATATGAAAACCACTTTCTCATATTAAATGCACAGCCTGTTTTAAAAAAGACTAGTATATAAAAAATTTAGTTATTACTACTGACATTGTGCTACATGTGTGTATATATTTCTATATGTAAATATACATATATATAATTATGATTGCAGATACTATTTTGAAAGATCTGAGTTTTATGTTTTCTAATGGTGGGATTTTTAAGAGAAGTGCTCAGAACTTGTGTTGAACATACTATAAAAGTGTTTTAAAAAGGATAAGAAACTAAAATAATTCAGATGTCCAATTTTCCCTATGACTGTGATTATTTTAAACTGTGCACAAATTAAGAAAATATTATAATATAATTAGATATTCATAGGGCAGTTTGGTCTTAAATTTGAGCCTTAGGAAACATACCTATGATTATAAGAATAAAACTGTAGTATTAAACTCAGTTGGACTAAACTAAAAAGGGAATAGTCATTTCCCTCTCACCTCCTAAAGAATGCTTTCTATCACCAATTTAAGTAATTTTGTATTCAAATGTAGATGAAGTAGTTAATATAATTCATGGATATATATAAATGTCACTCAGGAGATTAATGGATTCAAAAAAGCAGTAAGCACTACTGTGAATCAATGTTCTACTTACAATTACTCAAAATATAACTTTCAAAAACTCAGTGGCAATTACCGTATACAGAATATTTAATGAAGGATTCACAGAAGGTCTTATGTAATCCATAGCTTAAAGTACATAGATTTTTTAAATTGCTTGAGACTTCATGTATCTCGAATAAAGCAAGTCTAGGATAAATTGCTTTTTAATTATGCAGTACAATTGTGGGGTTCATTATAAATAAATGACAGTATAAATGACACGTAAGATTACTCAAAATATTCCCCTATATTGTTAAGTCAGTTTAAATTCACAACAGATGTTTAAATTTTCTGATTTTATAATGCACTTAATTCTACCAATAGGTAAGAAGAGCAAATGGCTCATTTTGGAGAAAAAAACAGAGCATTAACATTTCAGCTGAAAGGATTCTATCTCCTGAGGAAAAGTCACTTAGTAAATGTTACCTAATGGTATGAAAGAGTTAACTCTTTATGGCCTTGTTACCTGGTAGCCTCCAACATATGATAAAACACTATAATCCTTTACTAAGAATCCGCAGTTAAAAAAATTCACACAAATAGAATATCATTAATGAAAAAATAAGCAAATAAAGTCACAGAATTAATTAGAAATGTGTAGGTAGTCTTTAGTCATACAATGTACATGTTATGGTTGGAAATTAGAGTGCGTCTACTATGACCTCCTCATTTTAGATGTGAGGATCCTTGGACCCAGAGGACACCACTGATACTCATTATGGAAGGTATATATTTCTGTGCAGTTTAATGTGTTTTTTCTTCACATATGCTTTTCACTACTTACAATTATAGATTGGTAGTTTGGCTGATATATCTTGAATATGTATCAAAATTTACAGCATGAAGGAATTATCAATCTAAAGAATATATATATATAATTGTACATAACATATACATATTATACATACATACATATATATATATATATATATATAGGCAATTAAATGTGAAGAATTATGTTCCACATTAACATTATTTTTAGGATGGTATCAGCATCTTACTGTAAATACCATTCAATAGGTAAAAAGTCTATTCCAATCTTTGGAAAGATTATCCTAAAATAGGGAGTCACATCACTGGAATCCTACTATGAAAAATTTCCAAAACCATTTGCATTTGAGCTGTATTCATCTTTTGAGACTGATGCCATGGAGTTGACTTTCCCATATGATCTTTTTATTGTAAAGTTATCCTGACTCTTCATTAGGGTTCAAGGAAGACCGAACTCATCTGTTCTTTAATGAATAATGTTTAGTGAAATTGAACTATTTTTCAGTAAACAAATTGTGTACACTAGTACATGAAAGATGACAGTGATTTTTATTCCCCAAACCCAAAACATGATATCATTAGGATAAAATGCTATGGTCACTTGAAAGATAAATGCCTGAGGGTGAGCTGGGATTCAGTATTTCTTCACGGTTTTTAGGAACACAGGTCATACGCTGGTGACAAACAAATATTTCTCCTTACTGTGATGAGACCAACCTGAAAGACTGCCACTCCTCTCTGAGCTGTTGTGAGAGCTGGTGGTGCTGAAATCCTGTGACTGGTTGTGTGGCATTCTATTAGACAATCCCTCAGCCAATCGGTAGTCAGGGATGTAAAGTAAGGCTAAGGGTTAAAGGGCAGAGGTCATAGTGGCATCATGTGATTAGTTCACAGCACAAGCCCATGCAGAACATGCAGTTAGCAACTCAGAAGCAGATGTTGTGGGACAGTGGAGGAATGTTTTGTCTGTCCTGCCTAATGGAAGTCGAGATGGATTATTAATCACTCTACTGAGAAAGCTAAAAGGATGGAACAGATTGGTGTTGCTGTGTGGTGGAAGCGACGGTGGTGGTGGTAGGGATTGTGCAAGGTTCTGAATACATGCTGATATTTTTTTAGTCTAAGTAGTGAACCTGGGAATGAATCACTAAACTGAACAACAAATACTAATTTCTATATCATGCACAAATGATATGGAAGTAACACCTTGGGTAATAGGAACCTGACTCACCATTGTTACCTTTGTTCTGATCAGGGAGAGAATAACCAAATCCCATCAGATCTGTTTTTTGCTGAATTGAGCTTTTCCACTGGGGATCAGGCAGATCGACAGCCAATTCATGTATGCTATTGGAATGCAAGATCTGTGTCGTGGCATATGGGGTAGCCTGTGTTATTTGGCTGGAACTGTTGTAAGTGGTTTTGGTCGTGAAGTCAATGCTGCTGTAAATGGCTCCATCTGAGAGCATCGTTGCTGTTTTATCCCCTTGGCCTGGAACTGGAGGCAGCACATCTGTGGTGAACATAGGGAAATAAAACAATTTAATGATGCACAAGAAGCCCAAAACTATCAGGACTGAAAATGAAAAATAAGTGTGTCATGGTGCACGTTTGCATTTCAGCTGAGATGGGCTTTATGAGCCAATGAAGAGTAGATGATGTACAACCGTTGCCAAGCTATCAGCCTCGGTGGCAGGCAGGCCTACTGCTCGCCCTTCATGTATCACTGCTTAACACATACCTTCCTCCATTTTCTTCAACCATGAATGAGAAGGTTGGGATATTTCAATACCAAAAAATGCTGTCAGTTGTTCAGTTTGTTCAATGAAATTGTAGCTCTTTATAGAGGCAATAGTAAAAGTGAATCTACAGATGATGGATGAAAACATCTTTTTCTACTTTATCTCAAAAGACATGGAATGAAAAATTGCTGAATGGATGCAAACATTTCCAAAATTATACTATCCAAACATGAAGGTATATTTTTCTGAGGTTTCAACCTGTTTAACTGATTTGATTTCACAGCTCCAGCATAGCAAATGGGGTGTATTTTTCTTTTTTCCTTGGATAACAAAGGAAACTTTTCATGAATAAGTCATTTTCATAATACAGCAGGATTTAACTATAGAAAAGGCAATCAGAGTGATCAGTGAGTTTAATTTATGCTACCAGCTCTTAGAAGTGGAGAATTACAGTTTCAAGTTGTAATACAGCGAGAGTAAAATTAAACTTTAGGAACAACACTGAATATCAAGCAGTTCACTTATCATTTTGGTGTACTGAATTATCTTTACATGATGTTTTATAATTCAAAACTGCCACCACTACCCAAAGCTCTTTATTTCCTTTTCAGAAGAAAGACACTAGAATCTTAAAAAAAAAAATCACTACACTACATACCACTATTTTTAAACATGTAGAGTTAAAAGCAAATCTAATTACAATATATTCCTTAATCATCTACATTCTGAAAGTCACACTTCATAAGATTTGTGGTCATCAACCCACTTAATTTTTTCATTAGAGGAAATTTTCAGCTAGTTTTAGTATTGTTAAATTAAGTAGCAAACAAAATTATTTCAGTACCAAAAACAACTTTATCATCACAAGGAGAAAGCTGAAATAAGAACTTGGTCAAAATATCCTAAAATTTTCAGGTTGGATGATACTAACACTACTTGAAATATTCTTGTAAAAATATTAGTTTTCTCTTGCATTGACAAAGTTAAAATTGTCTTAAGTAGCAATAAGACATTTATAGTGTAGTTTGAACACTTATTTAAGTATTTCTGAAGGTTTTGAAATCTGGAATTCCAACTCAATTTACAACTCTGTGTAAATGTACAGCATTAAATATGTTGAATGTATACCAGTGAGATTGTTATACATATTCAAATTTGTAATATTCCACAAAGTTGAATAAACAAGTAAAATAGCTTGATTTCAGAGTTGCACACTACTTTCTTGCCCTTCTTGCTTTTAGCTGTAAAATTAGAAAACCTGAGGATGAGGAAGCACACTTCATTCTCAAGTTACCATTTTTATTCTCAAAAACTTTCATTATTTAGTACAATATCAAAATTGTGATAGATACTCCACTCTGGGTAAGGTAGCAGAATTTCTTTCTGCCACTTCCATTGTATCTTTCACTAATGAATATTAACTGGATAGACGTATTTCTCCAACATGGAGCCAGCATGGGTTCCAACTTCTCAACACTTTTAACTTAAGGTTCTCCAAAGTCTCTCTCTCTCTCTCTGCTGGATGAAATTAGTCAGTTTTCAAGTCTAAGTGCTTCTATATTGATTTTCAGCATGCATATTTCTTTTAGATATTATCTGATCACTCTTATATTTTCAAGAAATAAATTTAATTATATCTAAAGTTGAAATATTGGAAAATAATACATGACTATCTGAATGTGAGGGAGCATCTTATAATGTCACATGGTTTGGTACTCAGGGCCAGTCTTCCTTCCAAAAGCCTGCATCTGAATAGGTGCTGCTTTCTTTAGGCGGGACCTTCTATCTTCCATCTCTCACAGTCCACCCCCTACGCATTCTTAGTGTTTTAAGTTGTCTGACTGCCACTTGTGAACATTTGAGTTTGAAACCTATAAATTAAAGCAACCCTGCCCTCTAGCTGGAATTACTCATGATTCATTCTGTAGTTTTTCAGCATGCTGCCTATATGTGCATTTATTTCTTTTTGTCTGGTAAAATCACTTGTATAAATGACTCTGTCCTTCACTGTATCATAAGTTACTTCAGGGCAGGAGCATATGGGATTTATGTCTCCATTTCCAAAATTCCTCCCTTGTGTTTTGCAGAGATTAAGCACTTAACTGAATGGTTAAATGAATTCTGTATACTTTGTATTGACAAAATGCATGCTTATGTAATAATTAGTAATTTTATTATTTAAGACACTATTTTTATTCAATTTAAACATGTATTGTAAAGAGAAATGTCGGTATCCATGATTATTCTTCTAAGTAAAGATGGTTATACAATCACATACAGCAATCCCACCTTCAAAAGTGAAGAGCAGTGCAGACAAAAAAACCTAGGCTTTAAAATATGTGAGACCTGCATTCTACATGTAGATCTCAAATTATACATCTTGATAAACCTTAGTTTCTTGACCTTTAAAATGGAAATATTATTATCTATTATCATATATTTATTCTGCAAAGGAAATAAAAGTACCCCAAATCCTAACTATTTCTATACATAATAAATACTTAAAATGCCTGTCACATTGAAAAAGATATAGTAAACCCTGCAAAAATTTTGTCTTGGCCTTGATGTTCATCTGTGAAATAGTTCATGTCATGAAAATGAGGTGGGAATGAAAGAAAAATCTTGAAAATCTACAAATATACCCTTTGGATAAATTAGACAGAGATATTTTAGACGTTAGTGTAGCCTTCTAAAACAGGGAATAAAAAACAAACAAGCAAAGCCAAAACATTTTCTCCATCTTGAGGCACTTATTTCTTGACATGAAGATAAAACAGCATGTTACTCCAATATAAATAAAAGTAAAAGAGGCAGCTACTCTTGATTGAGAAATGCTTTTGAAACAGAGTTTCTTTTGGAAAAATCAGTCTAGGTAGGGCAGGGGTGGTGCTTTGCTTTCCCTGTGAGGAGATGCTCAGGTAACAGAATCCATCCCCAATAAAGTGACAGCCTATGGCTGCAGGGCTCAGACTTTGCTCAGCTGGGGGTCACTTTCAGAGGCTCTGAGCAAGTGAGAATCTTAAATGGGGTATATTGGATTATTACAGAGGGTAAGCAGGAAGCTGAGGACTCACACAACTTTCTGTTTTTTCATTTACTCCAATGATGCTCATTGGGCAATGAATGTAAGTCACATTTTGTGCTAAACCTCTATGTGTCATTATCCACTTAATCCTCATTATACATACGCCTATGAAGTAAGATGGTTATTTTCTCTATGTTACTGGACTGAAGCACCCTTTCTTATAGTTGATGTTGACAGAATACAAACTATGTAATATTAGTAACTTTATTACTTAAATATTATTTTAATTATATTCAAACATGCATTGGTATTCCTTTTCTAAAGAGAAATGCCAGTATCCATGATTATTCTTCTCAGTCAATATCTTTAAACACTCATACATGTAAAATCCACCACTGAGACTTATAGTGGACTCAGATTAGTTTAGCTCAGTTTTTCCCCTGTATTAATTCTACTGAAGAGTATAGAAACCTTCCAGTGGATTCAGCCAAACTTTCTTGGTTTATAGCACTACTCTTCTAAATAATCACCCCAAGTTTCCACTTTGCATTTTCTACCCAATAGCATGCTGGATGACTTAAAACAGTATTTGGATCCTAGCATCTCCTCTTATAAATCCATCAGTGGCTTCTGATTACCCTCCAGACAGTTTGAAGTCATTGTGTGGCTTATCAGGTCCTCTGTTATCTGTCCCTCTGTATTTCTTACCAACTCTGCTGCCTTCTACTTTATATTCAAGTCATTGGGAACTTCATTCATTGCTCAAATAGGTCAAAGTGTTTCTTATTTTGGACCTTAAAATGTGGTAGATTTTTCACCACACACCTTTTCTGCACTTTGGATAAATCCTACCTCCTTCAGAAAGCAACATAAATAACACTCCATTCACAGAATTTTCTTACTTCCTACAAGCAACTCATGTAGGGCACTGACAAGGCAGCTATAGTTCATGGACTGTCTGATCAGTCCTCTGCCCGTGAAAAATGTGTGTGTGTGTGTGTGTGTGTGTGTGTGTGTGTGTCTGTGTGCACCAAACTAACCAAGGGACCAAAGACTTTTCTGGTCCCATATTTCTCTAAAACCATCATTCTTCTACTGACTGGATGAAAAGGTGAAGGTGGAGAGGTGGTGATTGTTTATAGTAGGTCCAATTCTGTCTTATTCTTAGGACCTATGGTGAGGACCTTGGCATCAAATTTTGGAGACCTTAGCATGTCAACTACTTAGCACCTTTTTTGTCTTTTATTTAAAATAGGTAGTGCCAGTTATCAGCTGTAGAACTAGAGAAAACTTCTTTCTCAGCATGTTGTCATATTTTTATTTACTCTTTATATGATTATTATATGAGAGTAAAGACTATCTTTCTTTACATATTTTTACTGTCTGCCTCAGCATGAGATACACAGGCATTCTCAATAAATACATGAGAAATGAGATTGAGTGAAGTGAAGTAACCAGTCCAAAATCATAAACCCTAGTTAGCAGCTTACTTCCTGATCTTGGCTTGGTAGTCTTGCAAATAAAATGTATTATGAATATGGATCTTCTTGGTTAGTAATGACTCCATTAAAAGCTTAGTTTTGCTCAAGGTAGTGCAGACAAAATATCTTTATAATAAAATATTTAGCAAATGTACAACAGTTATTACAGGTGGTTCAGTAATTTAATAATGTTAGACAATACTCTGTTACATTATTAAAACCATCTAGGAAAGCCAAGAAAAAAATAAAAAGTAACAAAATTTTGAATAACACAACTTACCTCCACGCCCAAAATTCCCAATCTCACTTGGGCCACTATTGCTATTGTTTACTGGCAAGCTTGTGGCTGGCCATGAATCAGCGAGCCATGGATAACTGGGATCACCAGCATTTAGAAGACCTGGACGACTAAAACAGAAATTAAAAAGAAATCAACTCACAGAGCTCAAGGAGAGAGAGACACCTGTCTCATGCACTCAAATGGATTAAAGAATTTAAGACGATTTTAATTCATTTCAAATTAAAATGGGTAGGCTCTCAAGAATTAAGGAGCATCAGCAATTCATTAAGGATATATAGACATATCAACCTTGTCAGTGGAAGCAGAAGAGTCTTGCCTGGAATTCTGCTGACATCAAAGTGAATTTGGTCATCTGCCCTGAAACTGGTAGGAATTGGTAACAGCAGGAACCAGAAATAAGGTTTGATGATAAATTGGCACCTCAGAGGAACAATTACTCGGAGTGACTGCTCAATATCGGCCATTTCCAGGACTTTGTGTTATTGCTTCCTCAGTTCCTGCAACCCCCATATATATCTGTCCTCTCTAAGCTGTAACCCCAGTTATGAGCCCTTGTGCTTGATTTAGAGGCAAGGAACTTGAGGGAAATTAATGTGCAATATTTATACTGTTCCATCCATAACACATGTCCAAGTTCCCTAAATTGCAAAATATTAGGGATACATTGAAGTTTTTTTAAGGTAATAAAAGATTCACTGTGATCTGATCTGGCATGTGAGTGTAGTCTATAAGATAAACTTCCTTCCCACCATATTTAATAAAGAATTCCCACCTCTAATATAAAAGATGAGATTCTGATTCCATTCCAGATTATTAGCATATTTACAAAGAAACAGCATCATCTATAATCACTGTACTTTATTTTTGATAGACCCTTTCTGGTAGAATCCCTAAGAGAAACATCTGTTGCTATGGAAACTGCAATAAGAAGATCCAACTGCTCACTTGCTACATGTACTAGCTCTCATTAGACCTAATCTCTTTTTGCTAAAATATTGATTAAATGGGAGATTGGAAGTTATTACCAGAGCCTAATTACAATCTCCATATTGGCAAAGGGAAAATAGATGAGGATATATGGGTTTGTTATCAGCTTTTATCAATTTCAATTGAGTATCCAAAGTTGTGGAATCCAGTCCTATCAATCTACAGCCTATTCATCATCCATGAATCATTTACTTTGTGATCGATTATGTGTAATTGTTCACTCACAGCAATTTAGTGAGAGCCAATAAGGAGTCTTAAACAACAGCAACTTCATTTGCTAATGTCTAATTAATGCAATAAACATCCTGCTAACAAATGAACACATTCCTTGTGATATTTACTACTAATTTCTTCACGGGCATCTGGGAGATATGAAACATCTGGATTTGATTCCTCTAAAAGGCACAACAGATACATAATTAAACCTGTGGTAAGCCATTTAATTCCTCCTAGAATTCCCAGACTTATAAGTGATCGTTTAGTACAATAATAGCCTCTTACTATAGTTTATCCAGTCCTGCTTAAAAATAAAAATAGAAAGGAATCTCCTTGCATACCTCCCATTGCTCATTAGTCCTCCATCTCCTCTTTGAAATGTAACTGTAAAAAAAAGACACAAGTAGTCAATATTCATTATGATTAATAACAACTACCTATTGGACCTTACTTGAGAGCTGAGGCCCTGGGAATTTAAACAAAATTTAATTAACATAATTGTACAGAGAGTAAGAAGCAGTGGTTTGGCTCAAGGCAAAGCCATCATTTGCTCAAACTTTAAGACGACGTTTTCAAATTCTTCAAGCCATTATAAAGGTAATTCAAAGGTAGAGTTTGTATTTGTATGTCAAAAACTGCTGCAATCAGTATACACAGTGGTATTGGAAGACTGACATGTTTTAATGGAGATTTATCAAATCACAACTTTCAGTCTTAATATATGGGTGTCCTAATTAGAAGGCATAATGCAAAAATGCACATAACAGAAGTTGAAACAGAATAATTCAAAAAGCTAACAGCATCCTTCCAATGAAACAAAAGAAAGAGGTACTGACTGATGACATATTTCTCACCATCATGGATCCCTTCAGGGTCACCAATAAGCATTATGAGTTGAATAAATACAATTACATTAGATATGAACTATAATTAATAGGGAATAATATATTGAGTGTTTTGTATCATCATCCAACCCTCACAAGAATGAAATTCTCAAGTAATTGATACTGAATATATTCCAGTTATATGTACTGATTACAGAACTTAAGTCTTTTAGAACTTATTAACCATAACAATAAATATCTGGTAGAGCCACAGCTGTAGAATCCAAACCCTCCAGTCACTGCATTCCACTCCACAGAGTTAACAACATAAAAGGGGGTTTCAAGAATTGACTGAAGAACATAAACTTTTCCAAAACTTTTGCAGCCAATTATATTTGGAATTCAAAATGTTTCAGATCTGAGAAAAGTAATATGATGCATACTACATACACAATGTAAGGCAGCAACTGTATTCAAAGGTATTTAATATCTTTGCAGAGAAATGTAAATATTCATTATTAGTGGGATACGGTCTATAAGTAGTTTCATGCTAGTTTGGATTAAACTTTGCCACTAACTGAGGTAACTAGAAAATCATGGGATAAAACTCGGTGTTTAGTAGTTTATGGATTGCAAAATTACAATTCTAGCCAAAATTAATATGAATCAGCTAAGCCAATCCCTGGGAATGAAGGAAAAAAATACTGTTTCACAGATGTGAATCCAAAATATCCTGTCTTTGGAAGATATTGATAATATTTACTATGATTTCTTTACTTATGAACTAAAGGGAACATGAGATGAAAATTTTATGAATTGATTCATATTTTAAATAAATGGAGGACATTGTTACTTGAAGTATATACATAATAAATACTCCTAATTTGAATAATTTTTCAATTTCATTTGTACTTCACATTTGCACTACTAAATATGATCAATCTTTAAATTTTGTAAATTTCCAATTGCAGTTCTCCAGTCCCTTCCCTAAAGACATCTAATGACATATGTCTCATAACATCACAGTTAGGTGATATGATCATAATTCTCATATCCTGTCAGGACTTCATGAAGTAGTGCTTTCAGGAAAATCTTGCTGGCACCTGGAGCATATTGCCTTATCATTTTTTTCAGTAAACATCTTAAACGCATTATAAAGCAATCCTGACATAACTTTTGAATCTGCCCAGGACTGGCTATGGGCAGCTCAAGGAAGATGAGAGAATAGTGATCGCTGCTCTGCTTCCTGATGGGCTTGCTTACGCAGTGGGAATCAGGAATCAGCAGTGTGTCCGCAGCACACAGGGTCCCTTTAGAAAGTGCTTTTCACAACAAGAAAGAATTAATCTGAAACAATTAATGAAAAAACTGAGCATGGGAGGTATTAAATAAAGTCCTGATTAGGGGGAAAAACACACACAACATGTGAAAACAGCTAATTAGCTTTCTATCTGATGTGACTTCCTAGTTATGCTTTTTTGACTATCAAGTGATTGTTTTACTCTGTTAAAAGGGAGTTGATAATGTTAATATCATTGTGAATATGCAAATGAGAAGACACGGATGGGCTACACTTCAAAATGTGCTATTTAGAAGCTATATGGATAGAAGCTAAGTATTTCTGCTAATTTAGATGCTGTTTTCCCCACCAAACTTTCTGCTTATATCAGAGCAATAAATGATATTAGAGAAATGGAGGACAACTGAAGCAAAGGAATAAAAATGTAGATGTACTGAACTTTTGCATACTAACCCATCGCAAATTCTTCATAAAATGTTAATTTTAAAGTGTTATGATGCAATGCTCAAAATATTATTAAAAATTTGTCATTCAAGTGGCCAATAAGCACAATAAAAGATGCTCAACATCACTAATCATTAGGGAAACACAAATCAAAATTACAATAAAAAGCTACCTCACATCTTAGCAAGGTTACTATGCCAACACAGAAAACAAGTGTTGGTGAATATGTAGAGACACTGGACACTTAAGCACTGCTGGTAGGAAATAAACTGGTATAACCACAGTGAAAAATAGTGTAGTTCCTCAAACTAAAAATAGAATTACCATATGATGTAGCAATTTTACAACTGGGTACATACCCCAAAGAACTGAAAGCAGTATCTTAAAGTGGTATTTGTAGACCCATGTTCATAGTAGCATTATTCTCAATAACTAAATCATGGAAGCCACCCAAGTGTCCATAAATGGATGAGTGGATTTAAAAATGTGGCTTATACATACAATGAAATATTATCCAGCTTTAAACATGAAGGAAATTCTGACACATGTTAAAACCAGGATACATCCTAAGGACATCATGCTAAGCAAAATAAGCCAGTCACAAGAAGACAAGTGCTGTATGATCCCACTTATATGGGATACTCAAAAGAATCCAAATCATAGAAGCAGCAAGTGGAATGGTCATTGCCAGGGGCTAGAGGGAGAGAGGAATGGGGAGTTTTTATTTACTGGATATAGAGTTTCACTCAAGAAGATGGAAAGAAAGATTTATGGAGATGGATGGTGGTGATGATTGCATAACATTATGAATGTATTAGTGCCACTGATCTGCACACTAAAAAATGGTCAAGATAGTAAATTTTACAAATGTGTATTTTAACACAATAGAAAATTGGGGGAAAATACTCAAGGTTAATTTTGCAGATGTGTTAAGCGTACAGACTCTGTGGTAAGCTTCTTTTCTACCAATTAAGAATAAAATGTTGTGAGTAAAAGAATTTTAAATTTCAAGGCATTCAGGACATATTTATTTTCTATTAGTGTTCCAATCACATTAAAATATGTTTTCTAATGGTTCTAGACTGCTAATAGCTTGGCAAAATATTTCATAAAGACACTTAACCTTTGTACTTCTGCATAACAACTACGCAAAGGCACAAAAACACCATGCCTACATACATGACTAACTTAAAGTGATCCATAGACACAATTTGGTATCAATGAGATTTTTCCTTTTTGCCTACTTCTATCAAGAAAACAACATCTTATCATAAGTTTGATTAGTTGTTAGTCATCTTGTTAAAGTAAGACAAAAGGACAATTTTTCAAATTTCCTTTTTACCCCATGCTGCAAAACTTTTAGATTTGTTCCATTTCAAAAAGTAGACCAAAACCAGTGAAGTTCTATTAGACCATGGGATGAAAAGCAGACTAGAAATAAGCATGAACAATTAGAGCCCCTAAAAAGGAAGTCATATTTGGTGTTTTGATAAGTTTTTTATGTGTGTGTGTGCAGAAAGAGAAACCAAATGCCACAGCAAACTGAAAGCTGTTTTCAGGCAGCTTTCATTTCACAGAGATGCCAACCTACGGTAGTCATGATTTTGATAACAGAGCAGTAAGTTTGGGCTTATCAGAGATAAATTTGAAATAAGTGTGAATCTTTACCAGGAGTCTCTGCTAGGAACTTTCAGGGAGCAATGTATGGAAGCTTTTAGCTGCAACTAACTCAACAGCACTAAGTTTTCCAAAAAGTTCTACAGACACTACAGCCTTAAATGCTTTAGAATTGCCATAAACATTTTCAATGTATTGCTACATTTATAAAAGGCATAAGATAAAGAGATTTGACAAGTTTATATCATACGCAAAGTGCCTCTGCTATTATCTGACAGGATTAATCCTAATCTCATGCCTGCTACAGCTGAGGGGGAAGGGAAACATAACTGTGTGGCAAATTGACATTTTGAGGTGAGGAATCTTTACAAGTGCCTATCTCTGTAAGGCCACATTTTCCTACTCTAAATGGAAACTTTAATGTTGCCAACTGAACCTCATTCCCTTTCCTGATAAGCTATTGCTCAAATATGAATGTAGATTAATCCTCTTTTAATAAGCCTTAACTCAGCCCAGATAATCAGAGTATAGAAATTCCAACAACTTTTTTGGCTGTCTTTGGGTAGTTTTTTAAATAATTTATATTTCACCAACGGTTTTAAAACCTATGTGTGAAGTTAGCATTTTATAATTTGTTTATATTTACTGAGTTTTGCAAAATCTGTTATCCTCAGAGATAATATTCATAAAATATAACTCACTCCTTTGAAAGTGAAAATGTATTCATTCATTGAAAAATTGATGGCTTCAAAATTGTGAATAGAAAAGTGAACAACATAAGTCTGAAAAGAGTCATAGAGCCTTCCTGAGAATTATAATATGGATATTATATATACATATATATATATATATCACATAACATGTAAGATATAACATATGCTGTTACTTTACATACACATAACATAGCTATATAGAATCCTCATGAAAGCCACATGGTTTTTGTTCAAACTTATGTTGTTCAGTTTTCTGTTCACAAATACTATTATATGGATGATCAAACATTTACTGTAGATTCAAAAATCACCTACTGTTTTCTATATTGTCTGCCTAAATCTTTTTACAATTCTATCCTATTCTATAAGAATTCAGGTGGTGAATTCTAGCAGCCACGAGCCTTACCTCTAGTGACAAGTTGACTGTCAGGTTCAACTCATTTTAAGATAAATAACATTGCATGTTGCTTTAGAAAAGTATAAAGTGATTTCATGTAGAACATGAGATAAGAGGATATCTTTTTTGTTCCTGCCACCAATCTGTGCCACATGCAACCTGTGGTGTTTGTGTCTGAAGAACTTAAATAAAGGATAAATAGGGAAAAATTGAATAATAAGTTAGAGTGTAATGTTTCCCTGGGGAAATCTTCCCTTTCTGCTATGTAAAGAGGCACAAAAAGTTTAGGCCAAATTTTCCTCTCAGATCATTTAAATGATAAGTTTGCATTCAATTCTTAATGGTTGCTTTTCCAAATCTAGGTGATAATCCACTAATGTTTGAGAAATCTGTTAAATCCTCTGACATAAGAAAACTACCAAGAGTGAATAGCAGTTTTTTATTTTTCTGCCTTGTAAGCATTCAAACACAATTTTCCACATGATGGAGAGTCAAAGACTTCCACACTAAAGGCCCATGAGGAAGTCTAGGCCTACACAGGTTGAGTGAAAGGCATCCTTCTGAGAGTTAGAATCTCCAATCTGCAGTATATTTATATGTCTCCCCACTAGTGAAAATCTTTCCTGTTCTACCTCTAATGGTTAAGAAAAGACTTGGAATAAAGTGGAAAAAAGGGAGTGCTGAAATCAAATTTTATCTGCTTTAGGATCAGTCTAGCTTTATAAAAAGGCATTGTCTCTTAATATATGCAAATTGCATCAGATGCTAAAATATAATCCAAGATTGGAACTGGGGTTTGAAATAAATGAAGTATTTTATGTTATCCATTAATCTAATTGCTTACCTCAAAGTAGACTTTTTGATTATCTGGAAAAAATCATATTATTGCTATCATGAATTAAAAATAAAATTTTGAGACAACATAGACATTACCACATAGTGAGAAGTGGAAATCTTAGGCTTTTCATCTTGTGAGTAAAATCATATTGTTTTTATACTGTAAAATTTATAAGATTCCTAGAGAAACTGTTATGGAAACCAAAATATAAACAGAACCAGTACAAGTAGACTTTATTTTCTATAGCTTTTATAACACACTTCAGATAAAATTAGCCCTGTATGAAAGCCCTGTGCTGTTAAAATAAATCATTAGTTCATGCATGAAAAAGCAGAGGTTTAGACCTATGATCATTTCCCACTTAAATCTATAATCATTCCCATTTAAAATCCCCAAGTTCTCTAAGTTGTATAAGGACATAACATACGGAAATTGTAACAGGTGGAAGATAGAATATGTATGGACAGAAAATGTGTAGAAAATACCCCCAAGTCAGATATGCAATGGTAGTAGGTACCTATGATTTAGATGTTCATTTGCTTCTCACCCAAAAGAAAACAGCAGTTGCTAGAAGGCAAATTGCTAGTTGAAGGTGAATCCATTCTGAGAGTCAGTCATCTATCAATTAAGTATAAAGGTTTTGAAAGGCTGCTTTCTGGTTTGGCCTTATTCCAAAATATTTGAAGGGCATAGCACCTTCTGAGTTAGCAGCTCTTCTACAAGCAGATGGACATCAATCACAATGAGAAATGATAATAGGAAATGTATTATTCTTGTCAAGCTCAAAGATCAACAGATATTTTCAAATTAAATGCACAGGTTTTGCAGGGAACTGCTGTTTAAAAAAGAAAAAAAGAGCAAAAGAAAAGGAAGAAAAAAGGTCTGTCTGGCATAATTTTACTAAAAGCACAAAACTACAAATCATGAGAGCTATTTAATATATAAGAAGTGAGCAAATGAAGAAGTATGGAAGGTAAAAATGCTGTACTCCAGATGGGGCTTTTAGAACTTTGCACTGAAGTGATTAGCATAGTCAATCTTTTATTATTTTCATTAAAATCAAACAAAAAGATAAACAGAAAATAGTCCTTGAATTAAATCAGGTGTTCCTTATGTTTCATATGATTGATTAAACAGGTGGGTTGGTGGACAATGCCTTCAAGGAATGGAGTTAGATGACTGGTCGGCAACACAAGAAGGCACATTAAAGTATCCTTGATATTCAAGATTCTAACCCTCAGCAGTTATTGCCCAGCATCTCTTTATGGGAAGTATGCTTCAGTGGAGTGATGATACAGTGCTCAGGTGATGAAGTGCAGGAAAGCAGCATCCACAACCAAAGAGAAATGGGAAAGGCAGAATGAGAGCAAGTCCCAAAGCATGGAACTGCTTTCTCTAGTCCTGGAAATGTATTCTTTTCAATAAACAACAAACTTCATTTTCATAAGAGATGGACATGAGCCACATTATTATAATCAAATGATCATATTTAAATGATGTCAAATAACAAGCAAGACAATCTGGTGTATGCTATTCCTCCTATTTTTGCATTATTTAAACATTCTCTGCAGCTTAGAAGCCTGTAAGCTACAGCAGCTTGTAAGCTTGATGAGCAGTGAAGCTTCTGTCAAAAATCATTTATTAAGATGTTTATGCTTCTTACCAGAATAAGAAATAGAAGATTGAATAAGATATTTCAAAAAATTCTAAAGTCTTTGTAGGATTAAAGTTGTTGCCTTAAAGATTCTAGAAAGCGTGAGATATTGTGAGACAATTTCTTTTTATGATAGTTGCTGTTAGAGAAGTACTTAAAATGAATTGAAATTAAAATTGTTATTGCACATAGCTTCACTATAGAGTTCATTCTTTCAATCACTGACTTGATCATTCTTTCTCTCTTCATCCCTCCCTCCTCCTCCATCCTTCCATTTTCTTTCTTCTCTGTCTCTCTCTACCTTGGAAGTATTTTGAGCCACAATTTTTGACATTCTTGAAATTCTGTTTTGAATTCTAAGAGGAAAACACTTTTTTGCAAACATTTTAAACATCTAGGGTCTTCTTTTTATTCTGCTTTTTTCTTCTAAAATGGTGATGGATCAACTTGAAATAGACTTCCTTTCTAAGTGATTAGTAAATCACTTAATTCATCTTTCATCAGTCTTATTAATTCAGGTGAGATTGTTGTTTGTATTTTCTCTCTAGTACATTTCCTATTGTAATACATATCTTGAAATACTAGAAGCTGCATTTTAAATCTTTTCCTTATAGTAATGCTTTTGCCTAAATTCACTTATCAAACAATGGCTTCATAGCACGCAAAGTGTCTGTGTGTACATGTGTTTTGAAGAACTAGTTGAGAAAAAATGGTTAAGTATTTATCAGTGTGCACTCCTGGTATACTTTCAGGGAGGCATAGCAAAAAGACTGCCTTATGCTCATAATGTGATATAGTAAAGAGCAATGTATTAAAGCATGGTCGTTATAATTGCATTTTACAGAGCAGGTATTTAAAGCAAGCCAAAAGCATTCATTCATTCACCACTTGTTATTCCATTCCATTCCTTCTTTTTCATTTCATCACATTCATTCCTTCATTCCTAAAGATAAGAGGATTTCTTAGCTAGGAGTGGCCTCTTACCAGCATAATTACTGAGTCCCTTTCTCTTCTTTCTTCGCCAATACAACCAGATGCTAAAACCCATCAAAATTACCCAGCAGGCACCACCAATACCAGCTATAAAGGCTGGTTGCTTCACAACATCAGTGATTTGCTCAGTTATGCTGTTATTGTTTTCAGTAATGACAACTTCATTACGTCCCCCTATGGAAGAAACAATAGTTTTAGTAAGCATTAGTATAAAAATAAACAAAAGAATACATAGTTGGTGTACCAAACACACAGAAAATTGCAAACTTCTTTTGAAGGCAGTTGATAGTCCTTGGTGCCCTTACCCTGTCACAATTACTTTTATTTTTTTTTATTAAGATATCATTGATATGCATTCTTATGAAGGTTTCACATGAAAAACAATGGAGTTACTACATTCACCCATATTATCAAGTCCCTCCATATGTCACTGCAGTCACTGTCCATCAGTGTAGTAAGATGCCACAGAGTCACTACTTGTCTTCTCTGAGTTACACTGTCTTCCCCATGATATGCCCCCACACCATGTGTACTAATCGTAATACCCCTCAATCCCCTTCTCTCTCCCTCCCCACGTGCCCTACTCCACCCCTCCCCTTTGGTAACTGCTGTTTTGTTCCTTCAGTTTTGCTTAGTTGTTATACTCCACAAATGAGGGAAATCATTTGGTACTTGTCTTTCTCTGCCTGGCATATTTCACTGAGCATAATACCCTCTAGCTCCATCCAGGCTGTTGCAAATAGTAGGATTTGTTTCTTTCTTATGGCTGAATAGTATTCCATTGTGTATAGGTACCACCTCTTCTTTATCCATTCATCTACTGATGGACACGGTTGCTTCCATTTCTTGGCTACTGTAAATAGTGCTGCAATAAACATAGGGGTGCATATGTCTTTTTGAATCTGAGAACTTGTTTTCTTAGGGTAAATTTCTAGGAGTGAAATTCCCGGGTCAAATAGTATTTCTGTTTTTAGTTTTTTGAGGAACCTCCATACTGCTTTTCACAATGGTAGAACTAATTTACATTCCCACCAGCAGTGTAGGAGGATTCCCCTTTCTCCGCATCCTTGCCAGCATTTGTTGTTCCTAGTCTTTTCGATGTTGGCCACCCTAAATGGTGAAAGGTGATATCTCACTGTGGTTTTAATTTTCATTTCCCTGATAATTAGCAATGTGGAGCATCTTTTCATGTGTCTGTTGACCATCTGAATTTCTTCTTTGGAGAATTGTCTATTCAAATCCTCTGCCCATTTTTAATCCAGTTATTTGCTTTTTGGGTGTTGAGGAGTGTGAGTTCCTTATATATTTTGAGTGTTAACCCCTTGTGAGAAATGTCATTTACAAATACATTCTCCCATACTGTAGGATACTTTTTGTTCTGCTTGTCACATTATTGATAAGCATATTTCATAAGTTTCAGAGGAATTAAATTATGAGTTTGAAATGTGATTAAGAACTTTGGTCCCTTATGTTCTGGTTTTCTATGGAGAGATTCTGAACTACTCTTGCCTTATAATTAAGCACTGAAACAAGTGCTCATGATGAAAATAACAGCAACTTTTCTTCAGTTAGGTAAAGCATATTTTAAGAGAGCCTCATTAAAAGAAAAAAGCAACTACAACATTCAGCACAGGCTATTTGTGAATTGTTTTCCTCTACAGTACTGTTCAAATTCAAATGTCTATGATTAAAAAATATGAAACTTAATATTGTCCTTAATAGTCTATGAAGGAACTTATTTTGATCAAATATCCTTTAATTTTTTTGTAATACATTTAAACTACTGTTTGATATTATGATAACAAGGACAATTATGTAAACAGCCTTTCATAGAAATTAGTATCTATAATTAAAATGTCCCCAAAAGACAAAACTTGTAGATTAAAGTATTTGAAATCAATTTCAAAATCCCCTTGAAAGCTGAATTCAAAAGACAACTTTAAAATCAATTCCAAGGTCTATGTAACTAAAACAAACATTTAAATCTGTACTAAAATTATTCTAGAGGCAGTCATGTTTTTGACAGTTTAGAACTCAGAGATAATTTTTAAAATCTTTGTCCACATTTGTAAACAGATTTAAAACTCATGAAATCATAGTATCACTGAAGAGCAAAGATTTAGGTGTTTATTTAACACATGAAGAAATTTAGGCACTGGGTATTAAGTGCTTTCTAACATCAACACCATACCTCATTAATGACTAATCAAAGGCTTTTAAAAAATAAATTGTAATCAGATATAAATGCAAATTTCAGCATATCACTTTAAAAGAATGTGTGGTTATCATGGCACTGTAATATATTTAAAAATACATGGTCTTTGAAGTTCCCTGTTTGAATGTCATGTCTGCCACTTATTAGCTAAGTAAGCAGGAAGCTTATGTAGGGCACTCAATCTTTTTAAGTACCAGTGTCTGTTTCTTGGCAACGGAACTGTTTATTTCATATATTTGGGAAGAGACTTTTGAGATGATGTATGTAAAGAGATTGAAAGAAACACGGTAATTTGTAACACAAAATTATGGCCCATGTAAAGCTAAGGGTTACTTTCAGAGCTGCCCAGGTAACTTAAGGGTGTAAGTTGTAAACTGTCCAAATGGAAGAATCCTCCAAACTACAGGTGACTTGTTTACCACAGTTTCTTCCTTCTTCCAGGGTGGAAAGTTAGCCTAAAGGCCTCCTTGCAATTAAGTACAACAAAGTGATTGAGTATTCGCCAATGAAACATAAGCACCGGAAATGCATACTACCTCCAGACCTCATGCACACACTGCTGTGACAGTATTAGACCTACTCTCTTTCCTAAGGTATTGGACAAAAACAAGGGTTTATTGGAGGATGCTTATCCCCTAAGAGTTTGAAGAGCCAATAATTGGAAGAATTGAAGTTCCTTGAATAACTGTATTAAGTACAGGTCCCATCCTCCATTCTACTAATCCATATTAGACTGGCTATGGAGAAGAAACTTGTATTTTGTTAAGCCAATCAAAATGCAGCCTTGTTTGTTGTAGCTGTTAGCATTTTTCTTACACACATTTATATTCTACCTCTGAAATACGTTTTGTTAAATTCCAGATTTAAAAAATAGATTCACTTATGTAGTAAACCTGGTTCATTTTCCTAATCTATCTGTCCTTAAATATTAAACACATAAACTTAGTTAAAATATATTTAAATTGAGTTCATATTTTCAATGAGACATACATATATGATGATTTTCCTAGCTACTAGTAATTACTAAAAAAAAAACCCAAACACCTTATAGAACAAAGAGAAAAGAAAATTTGTCCTTTATTTGTGTAAAAGGTCCATAAAACATCACATTTAATATAGTGCAATATTTATGTTACCCAAAGCATACCATATTTCCTTTGCTGCTGGTATTTTTTAAACAATTTTGTCAGTTTGACTAATTAGAGCACAGACAAGGGATGTGTGTGACCTGTAACGCTTCATTGTTCTTGCAGACAAAAACTATAATGAAATATAATGTCTTTCTCCCATTGGAGAGTAATGAAGAACAAAACTAATTTGTTGGACTAAAAATTAATTAGACACATCAGATCCAATTGTACCTATTACTGTGAAAGTTTGCAGCTGTTCCACATGTAGTATCAACTATGTAAGGTAAGCATTAAATGGCCAAGTGATTAAAGAAACAATAGGTATATTATTAAAAGCAAGGTTACTAGAAATTTTGTCAATGCAAATTTGTTATATGGTATACTGCTTGATGGCTATATATGTAAATATATTTGGTTGTAAGTGCAACAAAATAGAACTGTGAACATTTTGATGTAAAAGTGGAAACTACAGAAAAACAAACAATATTACTTCAAGCCTGTATAAGGCTGTTTATTACATTTGTACAATATTTAATAAATGATCCATTAATGGAACACTAATGAAAACTAAACTATTAAGGAATAGATGATACACTACATAGCCTGGCATAACACAGATCTAAACTTATCAGCCATGAGTTACATCAAATGCCAATACCTAATTTAATTAAAGCAAAGGGGAAATGAGGGAGAGCTTGAGTCACTTTGAGTGCTGTTTCCAGTACTGAATAGACAATAGGGAAAGCATAAATTGAAACAGAACAGGACATTAGCCATCACTAAATCACATTTCAACTTAAGAATAACATTGGTATAGATAAGGTTATCAGACAAGATGTTAAGACAGATATGCAGGGGTAATTAAAGAAACAATTAAAGGCTTCTTTAGTACAACCATAGATATTAAAAAGAAATTAATCTCTCTAAGACAAATAGCCTTTTCCAGGTTGATTGCACTACATGTGTGTGAGTGTGTGTGGTATGTGTGTGTATGTTTATTTCAATGGTACAATTAAATTTGACTATATCTGGAACCCTGCAGATTCTAACTACTTGAGTAGGAGAATGGGATGTCATTTATGAGATTATTTTTTATTTCATAGAAATACTTTGAAAACAACTGTATGGTATGCTAAACAACAAATTGAAAGTTAACTATCCATTTGAAGACTCAATTTTCTAAAAAATGATAGGTGTTAAATAAAACTTTCTGCTGCGTTTTAACTCATCTGAGTTAACTTTATTAAGTTATTAGGTAGTTGTTCAATTCTTAATTGTCATGCCATGAGCTTGGTGAAATGGTATTTTTGCAATTTTTTTACTTGCCTCCAAGTGTAATACATCTGCAAAATATTGTGAAGAAAATAAGTAATCATGATACACAAAAGAAAAGTTTCTCTTGCTTGAGGGTTATACTTAATACTAAAAACAACAGTAAAAGAAACATGAAAGGAAAATACAGGTCTCTGACAATCTTATCACTAAGTTGAAAATTATATTCAGTCAATCCATTTCATATATATATGCTAGAGAGACAGGGAAAAAACAAAGTTTTGTTTATTTATGTAGAAGCTCTCATAGAAAATTATACCTTTTAAACATTACATATATTTTTTAAGTTAAAAATTAATGACTTATTTCTAAATAGTATAAATGGCATATATATATGTTAAATCCTTTTGGGTCTACTTGTATTTCTCTCTTATTCCAATTTATTTTAGAAAATCTCAGAAGGGCAAGATTGTAAGTTTCCCTCAGGTTAAGAAATTAATTCAGTCTCTACAACTAATTAAGAAAGGAAAGGCAATTTAAAGAAAAGCTAATACTAT